CATTTCTTTATGAAATCATACCTAAAATTTTACAAGGAAATAAAATAAGTCTCAAAGAATGCGTGTACAAAATATCATGTTCCTTGTTAAAAACTATATATGGGTGTAGTAACAAACAAAAAAGTAACTTTTAATAGTAAAAATTGACATGTTTCACAAAAATTTTACATAGCTATGACACTAGACATGTCGATCACGTGAAATCCTGTCTGACTGTTATTATACTGATAAAGAAAATGATAACGTTTCTGATTGTTACAGATTATTTGTCTAGACAAAAATAGTTAAATAATTTACATGATACCCAAAAATTACCCCCATTATTTTAGAAAAAGGAATTAGATGAGTATAACTGATAAAAGAATATTATGCAAATTCATGAAAAACCTAGAAAAAAACAAAGGTTAATGAAAATAATTTTATTATCTAATTATCAGTATAGGTGAGTGCATGTTTATTATATGAAAATAGACTTCAAATAATCCAAGAAAAATTATCTGAGATGTAGGAAAACACATATATATTAACTTTGTGATAATGAGAGTGAATATTTTAAAATTAAAAGTTGAGATTCACAATAATAACAAAGTAAATGTCTAACAATTTTTCTGAATTTATCATGGTGTAATAATAGTTGGTATTATTTTATCAGAATAATATTTTGATGCTGAAGATGATGTTAATGCTGATTGATCACTTGATTCTGAGATACAATTTATTTTGTTCAATATTTTGAAATTTTCAACTAAAATTGTATTGATGTTGTAAAGAACACTGATAAAGCTGATCATCCTTTTTTTGTTTTCATAATAATTATACATTCTTTTTATTGGTATTGTTATTTTATGTAAGCGTGAAAATTTGTAAAATGGAGGTGTATTTTTTTCTAATAAAAAAAAGGATATATCTGTTCCTGTAAAAAAAGAACAATGTTTATATCAATTCTTGTGCTTTTAAGACCAAATGAAGTTATTAAAATGGGCCAATAAAGCTTATGAGTGGTATTCCTTTTTGAAAAAACTATATTAATACTTACTATCTGTTTGCATTAGTAAAATTCCCAAGTTTTTTTAACAATGGTCCCACTAAAGACTAGTGCTGTAATCCAAAAAAGGAAAAAGTATGGTTGCAAAAGTGGTCACAAAGGTAATTGCAACCACTTTTATATGCCGTAAATACAATTACTACCATCATCATAATTTATGGCACTAGTCTTTAGGTCCCACTTCACAACTTTTGTCCACATTTTTGCAAAAATGATAAATATGGTCATATGCATTTTTACCAAATTTTGAGAGCCTTAGATTGTCTTCATTGGCATGACTTATTTGGTTGGATGATATGTTATATGGTTCATAACTCAATTCTCCATAAAAAAATTCCAGTTTGTGATCATGTTGTTTATTATAAACATGACAAAACACATCTGGGAATTTAGTTATGTTGCTATTTTCATTATTTCTTTTTGTTGTTGCTTGGGATTTCTTACCATTCCTATTAAAAAGAGCCATTACAAGATAAAGAAATTTTTTTTTAACATTAATAAATCCCTATATAATGAATTTTACTCAATTTTGTCAGAATCAGATTTTGATGAGCTTATTACTGTTATAAAAACATAGTATTTACCAAATCCTGTGCACTTTTTTAATGTTGAAAAATAAAAGGGACACTATGCAAGAGATGCATTCCACTTTTCCATGTATCTTCATTTACTTGAAATTTTTCTTCTTGGAAAAGTCCATTTTCCCAAAGTGATTTGAACCAGGGTTGGCGAATGTGTGGTCCATTGATGGTCCATTGATGGTCTATTGGGTCCATTAGTATAACACTTTAACTATATTTAGTATTTTATTAATGGCAATGGACCAGCTCAAAGTCCATCAGTTCTCAATGGACCAGCCAATTTGCCAACCCTGATTTGAACTTATTCATTAAAGCTTCTACTGCAATTGCAAACTGCAAATCCTCTTTGATTTCTTAATTCATGTAACAATAATAAACTGTCCTCATCATGCGCATGGCATGGCTTGATATAGATGATATTGTTTATTCTAAGTTTGGTCGTACAAAAAACATCGAATTTT